AACGTTTTGCGCTCAATCGTAACTGTAATGCGCAGTCGCGTCAATGCTATAATAAGCTTTACCTATTGTTATAAAATGCTCGTCTACCAATTTTCTCTGTTGTTCTGCTAACTTCGTATTTTGTTGTAATAATTTTTCTCTAATTTAGCCTTAACTAAATGTTCTTTAATAAATCTTTCGCTTCTTCTTCCGTACGAGCATTATACTTTAAGCCGTTCCGAAGATGTTGGCACGTGTCACATAAATCTGTTCTTGGACTCATGATTGAATGTAAGGCGTTAATTGATGCCATAACTTGCGAAATGCGTCATATTTTAACAATTTCAACGTGCTATCGTTTTCGAGGTCTGCAATAAAATCACGATAAACCGATTTGTAACTCGTTTCAGCTGGTAAAAGCGTAAGCGATTGAGTAATGCGATTGACATTTCTACCAGGACTCGGTAGTCCATGAATTTCCGCATAATTCTCGAGAAAATTCTTCACGGCAGTAGCAACTGGTTATTTTAATTTTCCATCGTGGCATTCGCTTTATGTTACCATGAACACGTGTTATTATCCCATTCGCCGCTAGGTGATTTCTGACGTTTTCCAAATGAGTGCGACCAATTCCTAACATATTAAGATACACATACTGACCAAAAGTATTGGTCACTTATTGAAATTTACTAGTAAAACATAGTAAAAATCTTTAATTTTGAAAATCTCTATCGTCCATACGTACTATGTAAGTTGCGGTAATGTTTGCGCCGTTTTGAAGCTAATTGATTGTATTTTTCGGAAAAAATAGTGTAGAACCTAAATTATCTACTGTAATGAAGGAGTAGTCCGATGAAGTGGCGATATTTATGTTACACATATGAAACTGTATGAAAATTATATGTGTAACATAAATATGCCACTTCATCGGATTACTCCTTCATTACAGTAGATAATTTAGGTTCTACACTATTTTTTCCGAAAAATACAATCAATTAGCTTCAAAACGGCGCAAACATTACCGCAACTTACATAGTACGTATGGACGATAGAGATTTTCAAAATTAAAGATTTTTACTATGTTTTACTAGTAAATTTCAATAAGTGACCAATACTTTTGGTCAGTATGTGTACGTTTTCTGACAAAGAGGCGTATTGCGATCTCAATAATAAAAAGTTCTCTTATTAGTACGCATTTTCTTTTTAAGACGTCGACTGGCAGTTATTTCTCCACCATTCATTGCTTTCAACTGAGCCATTAAAAATATATCTTGTTCAGATCTAGTGAGAGCTTGAAACGCCTCACGTAATTCGGCAAACTTTTCGTTTTTGAACAAGTGCAATTACAACCTATCTCTAAGAAACTTATATTCTGTTGAACCGTTATAATTATAATTTTCCATATACGAGCATTCCTATACATTAATTTTATTATCCTAGGAGAAATGTGTGTCAACATATGAACAAGAGACCAAATTTAATTACTTAAATTGGTGGATAATTGCTTTTATTAGTACATTATCTTTATGATCTATCTTCAACAAGTGATACATTTGTGTTTCCTTCAACATTGCTTCAAAAAAAAAGATTTTGGTGTACTTGCCGATCTATCAAAAACGAAACTTTTGCTTCATGTGCAGCCAATAAGGTTTTGGCCCTCTGTAAATGCTATTTAGGCTTTTAACGAACCAATCAAAGTTTTCGAAGAAATCACATTGCAGGATTTTCGAGGAAATTTGGGAGACACGGCAGTTTGTCGTGTTATCGTGTCAAGTAGTCGTGTTATCTTGTCATAGTAATTATCGTAGGGAAAAAGAAAAGCACTTCGAAGCACCCAGTTAAGTGATTTTTTGCATATCGTCAATAGAGAATTAGCGTGTTATGGTATCCTACGCTCGTATGGTCGGCCCTGCGTTTCGATGTTTGGATTTGAGGATTGCGGGATACTCACTATAACTCGCTCAATGCGGCTTTTAGTGCCTACGCCTGGGTCTCTCTTCCAGTATACAGCTTGTTGAGCGCTACTAAAATATAGTGTCTTCATTGCGTACAAGAGCAACCACTTATTCGCCTTCTTTTAAACAGCAATAGATATGGATTTTGAAAAATGTATTTCTGACTTTCTCAATGACACGGCTCTTCACGACTGGTCCATGAACTGTCTTCGCTATCTAGAACGTCGTGTACTATTCTCGTCCGGTAGCAAAAATGATATCATTGATGCATTCAAACGATCACTTGAGAAGAGTGGCAAATCCTCTGTCATGTATGCAAACGCGAAGGAAAAAGCCATTAAATTATCCAAGAACGCCGAAGAGATTTTTCGAAGAAAGAAGTTCTTGACTTTTTTAGTGAAATTGACCGAAAGTGGGAAATTGTATGTACGTGATTACACTGTTATTTATTTTGTTTTTGCAATTACCAATACTTTGTTTTAGAGACACAATGGTCGGGAAATCACTAGAAATGTCGATATGGCAAAGGTTGCGATTTCGAAGACGGCAACTACAAATCTAATGGACGTGAGTACTTTTTGTTTGTTTGTATTATTCCAAGCATAATGCGTAAGAACTATCATACTGGCATGATTTCAAGACACTAGAAACTGAATGCAGAGTAAAGACAAAAAGACCTCGGAATCAAATTGGAATTTCGAGCTTTAGATGATATGCACCATAGCAACCAGAAACACAGTTATCGTCTGCCCATATTCACCAAACATTGTTTCGCCTAAAGGATAATAAAAGCCAAAAAAGTCCATAATTGCGAGAATGTCGCAACACCAGACGCGGCGGAGATCTTCAAAAAGTATCAGCGCGAACGAAACGATATCTATGAGCGTCCATTCGGATAACTTATCGATTCTGTTGAAAGGATACGGATCACGAATATGTTAAGAATCGGGACGTATACGTGTACTGATAAATGTCTTCTCGTTTTCTTGATGTCCGTTGAAGAAGCTTGTGAAATCGGGGGCGTTGCAACGAACGACGCGAGAATAGTAATGATGGTGAGTGCGATTATCAATCCTGTCTCGTGGTTCCTCTTCTCATATATGGTAAATTCGTAACACAAGAATACCTATTTCACTATAAAGAGCATACTACAATTAGGTATCACGTTTTGCATCTTTTATTCTATTAAAATGATGGTTTGTTGTTCACAACTTTGATGTAACACGATAATTTCTCTCCGAACCTATGTCGTTCGTTACGAGTATTAAAAATAAAGCAATTAACGACTTAATTCAATCCTGCCATGTAAATGCATATGATAGATTTGCCTTACTCGAAAATTACCAACATAAGAGTCAAGCCAAATTGACAACGTCTACTACGCTATTCATAAGGATGATGGAGCGATGAAATATGCACACCAATACTTGTGAATGAGTTTGCCAGAATATTCACTTCCGACACACAAGTACGGAAATGATGACAATAACTTTAGAAGATATTCCCACTGGTTGTATTATCGCAACACACCAATACAATGATGATAGCTATTACATGGTTGCTGATAGAAAGTTTTACGGTTATTATTTCGATATGGCTTCTGCACTGCATGTGGAATACTCCAATGTAGTCCCGTGTGGTGTATTTGTAGCCATAAAGAAGTGTTCAATGGATGGACTAGCAACAATAAGCAACTCGATGAGCTTATTAAGAAATCTCAATTACAAACAAACTCAGAAAATGATGCCTATTTGGAATGGATTCCATTCGATTGTATTGATGATTGGAGATATGGATATGCACTTGAATCCACTTGAAATAACAGATGAGACGGATGATTCATATTATGACGAGATAAACTAATAATGCATCATGTTTATTGAATTGTTTGGATAGTTATTGACTTAGTATAATGTATTATTTCCACCAGTTATGTGATGAGCATCCCAAATATACCAAAGATGTTTGGGTTTACATACAATGTAATAAAAGGACGAGATGATTGGATCCAGTGGTTATGGAACAGTCTATATAGGCTATATGACAATGCACGAACTATTGTCCTCAAACGTTTCAAGTATTTTGATAAGACGCCGGAATTGTTTATTAACGAGGTAAGCATTCTTTGGTGGTATTAAATAAACTGATATTTGACCTGACTGTATTTTTCCTTTTAATAGTTCAGAAATCACGCCAGGTGTTCGCATTTTGGTTTTCCTAGCCCAATAACAATAGGGTACATAATTGTTATTCAATATGCCTAATAAGGGTCTTATTTGGATCAAAACATAAACAAGATGATGCGGAGGAAGAACTTACAGTGTTTCTTGGATATTACGGATTGTCTGAATAATATTCATCGCATCGGATATTGGTGCATTGTGATCTTCATAGACTATATTTAGAGTAAGTTGCGATTTCGTTTTGTTTAAAATACTGTAATAAAACGTTACATACTGATTACAGTATGCAATTTTATTTAGCAGATAATCTTTACAGTCTGATCACCCGATATCTTTATTTTTGGTCGGCACATCGTATGATGTTTATCTACACTAAATTTGGCTAATGGCCTGATTTTCTTTTTGTCATACGATAATTTCAAAAAATTTTCGTTGATCACGTGTTGTCACTGTTTGTGTGACAGTTGGGCTTTACTATTATAGAAAATTCGGTTCTTTGATGATTTGGTTCACTATAATAATAATAATAATAACGATAATAATAACCAGAGTTCCGATAAACTGTAAATACTTTTTTCACGTGATGTGACTAAAAAGGAGGAAATTTACATATATCCGTTCCATGGATGGGTGTGGGTAAATTTATTATAAAAACCGGTTGGTGACTGCTTATAAAGGGGCACGAGTATAGTATAACAACACAAATATACAAGCTTTATTAATGATAAAAATGCAAGAATACTCGTTTGCAACATATTCTGTTGTTTAGTCTCGATCGTTCTTTTCAGAAGGCAGTATCAACTTGAAGCTCACTATCACAATCTTGAGTAATATGCAGAAGCAAAGAATTGACATGCTCAAGAGCTGATTTACGAGAAATGGATTTGACTATTGGGGAGTCTTCTGACTGAGATAAAATCTTCGGCTTATCGTTTAACGCGAATTTATTAATTAATTTCGGCTTAATGCAATTTCAGCTTAGCGTGACTCCAGGTTTCATTATACCCAGGTTCACTGTGTACCATATTTGCTAATGGCCTAATTTTAAATATCAGAAATGATTCGCTGAACATCTTGCCTGATGATGGCCTGATTTAAGATTCGCCAAATATCTTGCCTGACTCTATGGCATGCATTAAGTGTAGTAATATGTATAATAATGTCATACAAATAGTGGCATACGTTATTTCTCACGGACTGCAAAGTAATATACTAAGGTTTTCAGTAAACGTTCAGATTAATGGGATATTGGTTGCGCCGTAAATATTTGACTGAAATAGAAAGATTTGTTGATAATCAAACAACAGGAGTTTCGACTTCATTCTCACATGCTACAGTTTTACTGTTAAAAACAACTGCGTTATGTTTACTTTCTCAGCGTCACATGATAATGGGAACGCTTTAATAAAATCGCTGAGGAATTGTTTCAACTCTGAAGAGTTCGCAGCACAACGAATGAAAAGAAAAATGTCCAGTTTAGAAACGTTTGGGGATGATGTTAAAATGAGTTCTAATAGGCGAAAGATCAGCAATCCAAGTCCGCTTGGTCTTTCGGCGTTTGCAATGAATACTTTTGTATATTCAGTATATATCTATGGTGTAAGGGGAATTGATCGCGATAACGTTGGAGTGGGTCTTGCATTGTTCTATGGAGGGGTCATACAAGTTCTTGCCGCAATGTGGGAAATGTATTACGGAAATACATTTCCCGCCACAGTGTTTGCATCTTACGGTGAGTTTGTTTGATCTTCGATACACTGACGCTGTTGTCAATTTGTTAAGACATTCTATGTTTGCAGGAGGATTTTGGATATCATTTGGTTTCATATCATTACCTGCTTCCGGCATTTTACAAGCTTTTGAGGGAGATCCACAAATGCTTAATAACGCTCTTGGCATGTTCCTTGTCGGATGGACGATATTCACCACTTTAATGGTCATCTGTGCATTGCGAACCAACGTTGTATTGATCACTGCATTCATTATGTTGGATTTAACGTATATAATGTTAGATTGCTATCGATTTACTGGTGAAACAATATTTAACAAGATTGGCGGAATATTTGGTGGTAAGTCTCAGAACACATCGTTAATGTTGGCTGTAATATGTGGCGTGGTTAAACCTATAATCTGCTTTGAATTTATTTAGTGATTACTGCCTTCATTGTGTGGTATCTAGCATGCGCTCAGTTATTAACAAAGGAAACGTCATACTTTATTCTTCCAGTTGGAGATAGAACAGCAGTTGCTAAAGTTTGAACGTTCGATTGACAAAGACGTTAATACAATAGTGAAACATCATTGATACTTGCATAATAGAATTTCTTTCTAAAATTGATATATATACAATGACTCTGTTTATGACGACACCCTCGGCAACGAAAAAAAGAAAGCATCGGATCCATATGTTGACAACTTGTCATTATAAGGACTTGTTATAATTAGAGACACTGTGTATATACATTACAATGAATTAATACTGCTTCATCTTTTTACATGTTGGCTGTTCGATTACCTGATATCACATGATCATGGATAAACATTAACGTCAAAAGCTTGGTTCTCTTATACCAGCAAAGAATATAAAAGATTGATTGCTAAATACCGACAGCAACAAGTGCATGTAAACTTTTGGGCAGGCTCTTACATTCTATGCTCGTTTGGTATTATGTGAAATGACATAAATTATGTTAGAACCACAAATTGGTGTCCCAGTTTCCAGTTTGTCCATATCTGCTGACATAAAGCACTCAACTTTCGACCGGTTTTAGAGAAAAGACAAGAGATCGAAAGATTAAAATGTTATATTATATGTCCTCTTGATTGGATAATTGATATTAATTAGTGATTAATGATGTTCATATTCATTTCATATTCTGTACGTGTAATGAAGCCAAAGACGTAAACAAAAAGATGCCATATCCGTTATTATTCGCCAAACGTTGACCAAAACAACGCGACTTGAAGTCACACGTCTTTCGCGAAGAAACACGTTACCTATCGGCTCAGGTGATGCCGTCATCCCAATATGGAATGTACAAACAAACAAACATCCAAAAAAAGCCAGACTCGAATTTCTCATATAATAATCCCCTACTCCATATCCTTACCCCCACAACAAACTTTCGCATCATTTGCTATACTGACTTTTATCAACAAAAACAATGGGCAGAGTTACAAAGACAACAAAGAAGAGCGCAACTCCTCCAGCTCACCCGAAGTATGAGGACATGATTCGAGGTACATAGCGTTTCTAGTACCCTTAAGGACCTCAGTTGAGAACAAAGCGAAGAGTTTTAGAATCGTATTATAGACTACATTACGAGTTTGTTGCAACAATATACGGACCTTACAGTACAGTTGGTAATATTAAAGTCACATATAACAAACTTTTTCCTACGTAGACGCCATCGTCGTATTGAAGGAACGTAAGGGAAGCAGGTAAGCAAGTGTATTGAGCATTAAAGTGGACGTTGTTTCTCGATTTTAAAATTGCCCTTTCGTTTTTCTTTGAACTTAGTCGCCAAGCTATCAAGAAGTATATATTGACAACTTTCAAGCTACCCGACAACCCCAAAACTACCTCGCAGCTTAAACTTGCCATCCATAAAGGAGTCGAGAAGGGGGTGTTCGCTTTTCCTAACGGTGAATTATGATTTTATTGTAGAATCGGCATCTGTTATTGTGATTCTTGGTAACAATATCTGGTCGACTGCCGCCATTAACACCAATATTTCTGCACATATGGGATTAGGACCCAACGGTACCATTAAACTTGTAAAAAAGGAACCCGCAAAGAAGGAGAAGAAAGACGAGAAGAAAGACAAACCAAAGAAGGAAAAGAAGGAGTCCAAATCGAAGGTTGAGAAAAAACCCAAGAAAGCTGTTGTAAAAAAGGCACCCGCTAAGAAGGCTACAACCAAGAGTCCGAAGAAAACCATAGCAAAAGGGGCCAGTAAGACGGCTGTCAAGAAGACGGCGAAAAAACCCACGAAGAGAACTGCAAAGACGACGTCTGCTGATGCCACCTCGTAGTTATTACGTAATTGTACTTTGTATCATCTCTTAATAGCATTTCATGTCGGTGGACTTTGTATATATTATTATGGGGTCACCTGTAACTTTAGACATGAATTTATTTTTTTCTCGCATATTATTTTTAGCATTTAGCATCATTCCTGTCTTGCTTTATAAACCAAATGAATCTGATGTGTATATTGACAACGTTGATGAGAGTGTAGTGTTGTTATCCTTACTTAATCTCTTATCGCATATTGAGATTGGATTTGGATTTTTACGTTTTGTAAATAAACTGGTCTAATGAGGTGAACACAAATACTTTCGACCGTAATCTGACTGAGTTATATATTGGGATCACCACAAACGAAGTCTATGTAATTATGTATACAGCCAACTGCCGATAATTCGATTTATTATTATACGTTAATTCGATCGATAACCTCGGAACGCGAGCGGCCGAATTATAGGCAGTTGACTGAACGATTTAACATTTAGCGAGAGTATACCATAACTGGATTTAGTGTGATATTACATGATACAAACTAAACCGTATATAACATTTATATACGCCTTAATATCTCCTTACGAAATCGGAATAGTAAGTTGCGGGGCGATGTAAATATGGTTATATTATGGCTTGTATCCCGCAATACACCTGCAATAATCATTGCCCAGCCCATACTAATACTAATACTAATACTGTAGGAAATAAACGGTTTATTATCAACAATTCGGCAAGCAAACCTTACAAAAGAAAACCGGGTGTTAAGCAGTATTAGTATAGAGATTTTGCATGCTATTACTAAAAGAAAAATAGAGGCACAAGATTGCGAGAAATAAATTAATGCCCAAGAATCTCATCGCTTGATTATAATTATGAGAATATTAAATATAAAAGCGTAATTACGTTCTTTATTTTTAACCTCGATGGACCGTGACCGTGGCATCGCCCCTGAACTTTACCTGTGACGTCATGTCACGCCTCGCCCCAAATTAAAATTACCAATTGTAGGTGTGACTAACAAACTCTCAAATTAAATTATTTTTAATTTTTATAACAGACGTCCTAATTCTGGCAACACAATGATGATTTACATGCTTGCACCCTAATTATCGTATTACCCTGTTTATTAGGTCATTAAAAATAACTAATTAAACTTCATTTTGTTTGCGAATGATATTCGTAATTAGGTTACGGCTGTCTGTTTTGTGTTCTATGTGTTCCCATTTGATTAAACAAGGTTTAACTAGTCAAGCATAATCGGTGGGTTATAGCAAAGTGCCTGGCTGATGTTCGCCACGTTTTGGTCCATAAATAAAATATGCCTGATGATTGACAATGTGAATATAAACCAATTGGAATTAATGGAGCTAAAGAAATTAGACCTACTCTTAGTCAGTCTGTGTGCTTAAGCATATGCAAGAATGTTTTGACGTCTTATTTGATGAGATTTGAAGATGTATGTGAGCATTCTTGCAAGTATCCAATGCATCACAAGCGGGTGGTGAACTTCTCCAGCAGGTGTAGGGTTCATCATGCATGGGGGCTGTGGGAAGACAGATGTAGCAATATATGCAATGCAAAGCTACAGCAGACGCCATGATATTGAGATATCAGCGATTAAAAAATTACAAGTATGACGATATTTATTATAAACAAATATGTTATAATTACACTAGTACCGATACACACATATGGAATCGAAGCTGTTTCAATAGCTGCAACCAACAGACAGCACACAGTGATCCTACATAGATAGTCTCAAGCACACAATCAGGAGATAAATGGATCACATTAGAAAAGAAAAAAAGCAGCAGTAATATATATATATTATAACTCATACATGTAAGCCAAATACACGATAGTCTTTAGGTAACGATTTTGTATATAAAAAATGTGTTAAAACGTCATTAAATTAAATATATTAATACATATTAATATTTATTGTCGTCATTTCGAATATTGGACCAACACTGTGTGCGATGGGAAAAGAATTGAGAATCGGATAAACAAAAGACCCCACAACCACCACCAACTTTTCGGCAAATTATTAATATGTATCATGGTTCATGTAGTGCAATCAATCGTCACCTACCCTCTTCTCTCTATTGCTTGGCGTATTCTCGTAGCATCTTCGGTTTATCCATACCATAATAAGCTTTGTACATCCCTCCTACCCACTTGCTTACAGGGATCATATGGAGACTAATATAAAAATGTACATAGTTATTGGCAATCCATCTGTTATACTGTCTCAATTGGATTTTTATTCGTTCATTCAACACTTGACAATGACGACTAGTTTCCCTCCATCTCTCTGCCTCCGCTTCCCTCTTCCCCGTGCTTTATTATTTTATACGTGCGAGTTTTTGTATATGCGCGAGTCTGGCGAGTCTGGAACCGCTACTTCTGGACCGTGTGTACGATGTGATATGGGTAATTGTAACTATTTATTTATATGCGATATATTAGATGTAATCTTACACCAACAAATATAGTACAAACGCAACCAATAATATTCGTCGTATTCAATGCAATTAATAATAAGCATTTCTCTGTATAAATATTATTTTATGTTACTGAGTTCAGGCTTTATGGTTCTTTTTTAAAATTCGCACTTCTTCATCTCCGATAATAACCTTCGTGTCGCAATTAGCAGTCCCCCCCAATTATAATAATCTTCTTCAACTTCTAAAATTCTTGTATACATAATATAAATATTTGTTATTATGTGGTCGTCGAGGTAACATGACGTAAATTACATATTTTTACTTTGGTCACCATTGCTATTTTGTTAAACAATCTGGTCTGGCCTGTATTCTGTATACCTTTAACATTACACACTATTCGCTGCTTCATCCTTTATTTGGTCTTAAACTCTCACAAGTCTGCATTTCTCCACTATCCCTCCCCCCAATTACCCACTTACCCTCACCCTTAATTTGATTATATTTACCGCTCGTTTCCACAATTCCCGACTCCTCCTCCACCATATTTTCTACTATAGAATACCATACACGGCCGTTTCTTCGCTCTGTGAGCAAGCAACGAATACATATATTACCAATATACATCACTGCTTGCCTCTATTCACACTCCATACACATACACACACGGAGCAGAGAAATTATTTGTACAAATACAACGTAAAATAGATTTATCATTGCCTTCATTATCCATATCCTTTGTCTACGATACAGCTATCGGCTAAAACAAGAACCATACCTGCACCCCTTTGTTCATTATTACATATTTCACAATGAACTGCGACAACTCAGCCGCCGCCTCCACTCAGTTCCCTCTCACTAAACAGGAACAGGAAGAAACGCTTTGGTCCAGCCCGTCTACTCCCTCCGATATATCTCTACCTCATACTCCAATCACAAAAACCGAAGAAGACTACTCTGTATACCACGTGCCAAAAGGATACGATGTGGTCCTCGTCCCTAAACTAGCAGACCAGACGTCCAATCCTGATTCTAACCCAGCAGTATCC